ACAATGGCAAGGACGTGGATGATTATATACAATATTAATAAATGGGCTTAGATAATAATATTGGTTTATGAAAACTGTAAGCCTTAGAGTTAGCTAATCAATGATTTAACCAATGTAAATTTATCACGAATTTTTATATGAAATATGAATAGAACTCATATTATAATTATTGTTTATACTATTTTATGAAAATGATTCTTTGGATTCATGTTTCATGACTTGCATTGATATGATGATCTAGATATGAATATATTGGTCACAAAATAATTGTAAAAGTATTTGAAATTGAAATTAAATATACTATGAACTCTTATTGTTTATAGGCATATTGGTCCTATGAGTAAAGTTTGAATTTATTATATATCAGAAAATGTTATGACCAATTAAAAGTGGTAAAAAACATAGATATATAGGTTACACAATGATGGAGAAATAAAATTCTTATAAAATTTTGAAATCAAGTTTAGAGGTTTCAATAATCATGAACTTGGAATTGGCTATTGGGCAATTATTATATGCATTGAAAACTCATGATAACATTTGAGATAGTTGGTTTTCAGTAAAAGTCATCATTATAAATGAAATAATTTTAATAGCCAAATCTACATGATTTGTAGGTATAAGGTAGATTATTATAGTTGGCTTAGAATAGCCATAAACCAAAATTGATGCCACAATCTTAATCACATTGTGGTAATTTTTGTTATGTATATGGTCTACTTCATGGATTGTATAAATGATTTATCATCTATGATTTTATATAGTGAAAATTTCAAAGTATATTTACTGTGAAAGTCATGAGTGATTTAAAGATTTTGTGAATTTGAAAACTTTTATAATAGCAAAAGAATGCTATTTAATTTATTTGGGTGATGAAAATGATTTTGTTCATAGTAATAAAAATTATTAATAGTATTCATGATGAAATAGATTCATATAAATATTTATGAATTGACATAAAAGTCTTAAAAGGAGACTATAGAAGCATGATTATATTTAAAATCTACTTATTAATGTAAACTCTTATATTGAGTTAAAATATAAAAGTTTTGAAATTTTTATTGAAATATTAATATATCAACTAATTATTTTTTACTAAGGGTGGATTTGAAGACCTTCTACTAAAAAAAAATCACCAAATAGTGAAAGATAAATGAAATAACAACTTGATTAAGTATATATGATATCTTGATAATTAAATGAGATATTCTTTAATAAAAGAATGTATACTTGCACATGGTGGGGTGATAAGAATTAAAAGACATAAAAATTATCACCACAGTGTTATAAGATTTTAGTGTAATTTTATGAGTAAATTATACAGGCCAATAAGTTTAAACACTTATTAAAGTAAAGTAATAAAAAGGTCCTTCAAAATCTTAAAAGGACTAAAATCATTTGGTTTATTTATTGAGTTTATCTAATTGTACTAGAAGTATAATTGTATTAAAAATATATAAAAGTATGGAAATAAAATAGTTGAAATTAATAAATACATAGTTGTGGCCATAACCAAAATCAACTATTTCTTAAAATGATAAGAATGAAGCAATAATGTCTGAAGAATATAAATGATATGCAAAATGAAAAATTTTGGACATATTAGCCTAAAGTGATTATATTAAAGATTCAATCTCAAGTGAGGGTAATTACCATAAAAGAAAATTGAATTCCATGATATTTGGTTGCCAGTACTACAAGTAAAATAGATTTAAAGTATTACTATTAGACACCAATAATGGGAACCCAACTTTGAATTAGTAATCTCTAATTACAAAGTTTAATAAGTAAAAATAAATTATTGTTATGTGTCTGTTAAATACTAGTAAAATTCATTCAAATTTTAGAAGTTAGTGTAATCCATTACGTAAGAGGATGAGTTTTTATACTCTTAATGGAGTTTTAAATGTCTAAAGTAATGGAGACATAATGAAAACTCTACCTATATAAACATAGAAGTTGTGCTACTTTAACAAGAAGAATTATGGTCTCTCTTGTAAATATTTATGAATAGGATAAGTATATGGTCATAATAGTGTTAAAAGCGGTTATAAACCTTTGACAGAAAAATAAATAAGTATTATATGTGTTATATTTTCAATTCTAATATGAGGAGTTGAGGTTTAATTTATGGACACCATCAACTTCGTTAGAATTCTAAGATATATACGCTAATTAAAAGATTAAATCGAGAAATACCTTCTTATATTCATAATATTTATTTGTGTGAAAGGTAAAAATTAAGTACCAACATTCTAAACTAGTAAGAGATTGTTAGTAGTTTAAAATGTGATGCATCCCACATTGGATAAAAAAATTTTATTATTGATGAATAAATTTTTGTATTAATTTTATTCATATTTTAAATAATCATGTTTGAATATAAACAATTATCATATGACAAATGTTTATAACTATTTGAATATAAATATATTGTTATTCATAAATATTATGATTATAAAGAAGATCATGACCATTTGAATAAAAGTTTATGACTGTTCATTCATTATAAATAAATTTTTCAGTATAATCATTTTCACTACTTCTGATTGGAGAGTTTGAGATTTTACTATATTCTAAGGACATAATTATTTTTAAAAAGTGTTCTTCACGTCTCAAAACTAAAATTCTTTTTTATTATTTCTTTTCTCTTATTTATTTTTTCTATAATAAACTTTATAAGGAAGGCCTATAGATTGAGCTGCCCATAATTCCTCGCCATTTCTCTCAATATGATTAATTCTAATTATCTTTGCCCCACTTTCCAAATCTTACTTTTTCTTCTCTTTTGCACCAGCACGAACTCACATAATCATCTAGCTAGAAGATATAAGATTTGTCACTTGATACTTCTCAGCTTAAAGAATTCACAGCATGCATCATACTTTCAAGACACCTCTCCAAAGCTGGGGTGATCATATCAAAACTTTGGATTTGAAACAAAAAAAAAAAAAGGAATTTACAGTTGTACTAAAAAATGGACTATGATGTCATACGCAATACAAGGTCCCCCACATGGGGCAGGGGGGATTGAAGAAGTGCTCCAAAAAGCTGAGCTTTTCGTGACTTTCTTTTTCCTTTTTTATATTAATCGCTAGGATGGTAAAGGCCCTACCCTACCACTTATTTTTCTAAAAAAAAATTATGACAGATTACAGCAGCAAACGTGGCTTAAGAAATCATAGATATAATCTTTTGCTTTATTGTAAGCTTAGTTGCATTATGTGGAGACGATGAAGAGGACAATTACAACCATCTCTTTGTATTCAATAAGGTTATATAAATATATATATATATATATTCCCATTAAGTTCTTGATTGAAAAGTGATATCTTTGTTAATTAATTAATCATTATTTTGATTAAAGATGCAATAATTTTTTAATCATAATCTTAGAAATTAAAGCTCATCCATATAAGAGCCAAAAAATTAACCCACAATCCCACATGTGAGTGCATGAGTGAGATGTGGTGTTGATAGATTGAGGACTTTATTACATAATTAAGAAATTCATTGATGAAAGGATTTGAGTTGGTTGCTTTGTTAGAATTAATTAAACAAAAGAAAGATCGGAATCACTATGCACTTTAATCAATTTGTGGCTTTTAAATTGTTTATATATATATATATTTTATAATTAAAAAACACAATAAAATCATATTCGATGTTAACCATATAAAATAAAAACATGATAAAAATTTTAAATGAAGTTTAATAAAATTATATATCCAGTATTTCTTTTTTTAAAAAAAGTAATTAAAAAAATTATAGATATTAAATTTTAAATTTTAAATTTATTCGGTATTATATTTGATAAAATTAATTATATAAATCAAATAAATTAAACTTTACATTTAATATTTCACAAAGTTTATTTATTTCTCTATTATTTATATAGTATTTATTCATAATAATTGGATCCACTAACAAATTAAATTTGTTTTAATTATTTATTTTAATACTAGAATGATTTTGAAGTTCAGCTTGGATTAGGCATCAAGGAAAGGGAGAGGGGCAACAGAATGGGAAATTTGGGGAATGGAAAAATGATTGACCAAAGGGGCAACGTTACATCCCGAGGAATTGCTAGATTGGAGGCCGTAGAATTGACCGATGTGCAAAATTTTGGAACCCTCACGTGCGATTACTCTCTTACAATTCTTACCTAGGCCCTCGTGCCACCCATTTATTCGTTTTAATTAATCGCCGACCCGTTTCCAACCAATACTTTGACTAGTTCATTCACTGCCCGATTTTTGACTGCGCAGAAATCTCGATAATAAAATTGACTACGATGGTATTTAAAATAAAAAATATTATTATAATTATGATTAAAAATTTTAATAATAAATTTATATTAAATTGATTTAATTCTTTTATTTTTATACAAATTTTTGTTAAAAAATTAATATGCATTACCTAATTGTTGTGTCATTATTAGAGTAAAACCAAAATGATTTTAACCATATGATATAGTACTAGGGCTCATCATCTCTTAAGCCTAAAATGCTCTAACAATGCCCATGAATTCCCCATCTTTCCAACCAGTTGGAGCAATCAGTAAAAACCATAGACTAAAATTTAATTTAATCATTCTTCTAAAATATGAGACCCCACTTTTTAATAGAAAATTAAAGAACATTAAATCCTAATCATGCATAATTTAATTATCTTTGATCAATCAAATGACAAACATATAATCCATTCTCTCTCTAATTTGATTCTCCAACAGGCTCCATTATCAAATCCTCCCACTTTTCTCTTTCGTCCTTGAACAGATTTGCTTTTTGCTCCCTACCCTTTAATTTTCTGATCTTTTCTTTCTTATGTACAAATAAACGCAAAATCTGACAAAATCAAACAAAGCTGTTTAGCTGTAATTCCTACTATCTGTTACCGTCATCTCTGAATAATTTTACGTGTTTTGTGTGCCCTTCAGTCAACTTTAAACTCTCAAAAATTCATATCGAAAAGAATATTTAAGGGTATAAAAAGTACAAATGTTAGAAACCGTGAAGTATCTGATCGGCTCAAGAGGAGCCAGTGGCTTCGGCTCTAAGTCAACCGCCGAGCAAGTTACCGAGACTTGCCCTGATCTCCGTTCTATCACCGCCATCATCACAGGTAATGAACAGACGATGTCGTGTGGCAAACTTTCCTTTTTTTTTTTTTGTTATTGTTTTTTGGATTTTGATGTGAGAGGTTGAAACAGGTGCGACGTCGGGGATCGGAGCTGAGACGGCTAGAGTGTTGGCCAAGCGAGGGGCGAGGTTGGTTCTTCCAGCTCGTAACGTTAAAGCTGCTGAAGAAGCTAAGGCTAGGATTGTTTCGGAGTTTCCTGACTCGGAGATCCTTGTCATGGCTCTTGATCTTAGTTCTCTCAGTTCTGTTCGAAATTTTGTGTTGGAGTTCGAGTCATTTAACTTGCCTCTCAATCTCCTCGTGTAAACTCCTAAACTCTTTAGTGAAATTTTCAGTTATAACATGACCAGAGTTAACTAACTTTCTTTTTCGGATAGTAAGTATGTTTGGTGTTTGTTTGCTAAGAAAGCGAAAGAAAAAGAATTAACACAAGTTGAAACTTTAGCTTGAATGAAACAAGACAACAAACTTTCATTTTCTTTATTGAACTGAAAGCAAGCTATTTTATGGTTAATACCAGAAACAACGCCGGCAAGTTTGCGCATGAACATGCAATCTCTGAGGATGGAATTGAGATGACATTTGCAACTAATTATATTGGTAATTATGCAACTTAATTACGCAAATAGTTTTATGTCGTATATTTTTAGTATTTATTTTACCGAATATAGCTCAAACTTTATGTTATAAATATTTTTAGGTCATTTTTTGTTGACGAAACTGTTGCTAAACAAGATGATCAAAACGGCAAGACAATCCGGCGTTCAAGGAAGAATTGTGAACGTGTCGTCAAGTATCCACGGCTGGTTTTCGGGCGATATGATCCACTACCTAGGCCAGATATCGAGAAACAAAAGGTGAGAACTGAGAACCGAGAACCGTGAAGGGAAAGGAAAGAATCGGGGAAACAGTGACAGAATCAGTTAATAAGAACATGATAGGAGTAAATGATTGTTAAGAAGATTGGGTTTTGATTTGACATTTCTAGAATTTTAATTTATGTGTTTGTTTTTTGTCTGGGTATCTGTCTCCAGTCAATACGATGCGACACGTGCTTATGCTCTCTCGAAGCTCGCTAATGTATTGCATACCAAGGAGCTTGCTCAGAGACTGAAAGTGATCCTTCATTATTTTCTGTTTATTTTAACGATCCTTCATTATTCGCTAAATGCCCAAAAAGCGAAATTTTGTTGTTTTCTTTTCATATTTTTTCACAAATCGTTTGCCATATTCATCTTTTGGTTTTTGGGGCAATACTGCAGCAAGTGGATGCCAACGTGACTGTGAATTGTGTTCATCCAGGGATTGTTAGAACCCGTCTAACCAGGGAACGTGAAGGATTGATCACAGGTTAGAAAATAATACCATTTGTCAAACTCAAACGTGTTGGTGTTTCTGATTCAAACTCTCTCTTAAGAAAAAATCTAATATTTTAGTTAATATAAACCTGCAGATCTGGTTTTCTTTTTAGCTTCCAAGCTCCTGAAGACAATCCCTCAGGTCAGTAAGCTAATTCGAGACTATGAATTGGTTAAAGATGAAGCTGGAAATGGGACATTTTGATGGGAAATTAATGAGCCTTGTGGATATTATTGCAGGCAGCTGCTACGACTTGTTACGTTGCAACGCATCCAAGACTAGTAAATGTAAGTGGGAAATACTTTGCCGACTGCAACGAAGCATGGACGTCAAAACTGGGTTCTAATTCTAATGAAGCTGCAAGGCTATGGGCTGCCTCTGAAATCATGGTTTCCAGACACCCCAAGCAGTTTTTGATCCGCTTAAGGCCTTCGATTATGACAAGTAGGAAACTCATGTAAGAGAAAAGGACTAGAAACTGACAGAAAACAAAAAAGAAAGTAATCAATCTTAGTTGGAAGAGGAAAGATGATAGGAATATATATATATATAGTATGCATACATCAGTTAAAGAAATTAGATATACAAGGTTTATGTACAAAAAATTATAGTTATGTTGGTTTCTTAGCTGGAACATAATAGGATGTCTACTTAAATCTATAGTAGAAAATATTAACCAGAGGGTTTTGTACTAAAACAGTTATTAATGCTTCTGTTTGTTATTACTAGTGTATTATAGTTTCCTAAGCCCCATATTTCAATTCTTGTTTAATTTTAACCTAATTTCAAATCGATGGATTGACTTGGCATCCGGATTATCATACAAGTGGATTTATATATAAGAGATTTAAAGAAAGCTAACTGAATTATATATGTAGTTTTGTAAAATGATTATGGAGGATATATAGTTATGTTAATAATGAGTTATGCTTCATTTTGAATGACTAGTGGAAAAGAATTCTCATCTTACTATCAAATCGTTTTATTAATGAATTTTTAAGGAGTCCAATGATAAAACAACATAGTGGGAATTCCATCAATCATCCAAGTGAAGTATTAATGAATTTTGATTAGGATATGCATGAAAGTGCTTGGAAACCCTAGTCAGGATTAATATTGAAGAGTAAATGGCTAGATATTGTACAACATGATAGTTTTCTTTAAGAAGAAAGAATATACAAATATGAAATGAAGAAGAATATATAAGAGGGAAATAAGGAACATGGGGTGGGTTAGGATCATGTGGCCCCAATACTCTTATGGGGTGTCTACCCAAAAAACCCTACAACTCTCTTACATCTTTTTCTCATACCTAACCCTGTAGAGATCACCTATTTATAACATACAACTTGCCCATTAAGAATCCCTCTCTTCTTAGAATTCTTCTCCTGTAAGTCAAACTTGCCCTATTAAGAATCCTTTTCCTTTTAGAATTCTTCTCTTGCAAGTCAAACTTACTATTAAGAATCCTCTTTCTCTGGAATTCTTCTTTTGCAAGTCTTCTTGTCCATCAAGCAATATCTGACAAATCTCAAACAAATCTCTTATGGGATTTGAGTCAATATTCCTAACAATCTCCACCTTGACTCAAATTTCATCAATCATCTGTCTTCATGCTAGACATGCTTGGCTCCACCTGCAATGAAAGTCTCACAATCATCTTCTCTTCTCTTGTGTCTTCACACTTCATACAAACCAATCATCAATCTTCAAAACTTAAACTCGAACTCTTCTCTCGAATCGAGCTCTTCTGGACTTGCTTCTTCCCATGTCTCAAACCATGCACTTCCCACATCTGAAACCTTTAGCTCTTCCCACATCTTGAACATTTGACTTTTTCCACACCTTGAATGTTCAACTCTTCTCACGTTTCGAACTTTCAGCTCTGATACCACTTGTTAGGGATCACCATAGCTCTGATACCATTTGTTGGGCTAAAAGCCTCCAATCCAATCGCACCAGCGGAAGCGAAATCAAACAATAAATCAAACACACAAGAGACAACAATTTAACGTGGTTCGGTCCAACTGACCTACATCCACGGATGAGAAACAAGATCCACTAGTTGTAAAGAATTACAAACATACATTATATCATCAACCTCACTCAACAATCAATACTCGTAAGACACTCTCAATCTCCTCTAGTCCTATGAAGTATTCTTTACCCAAACAAACATAAACCCAAACTCTTGTGCACCTTTTCAACATAACCAAACACATACCCATATGCTCCCATACATCATACCTATGTGGACCCTCTCAATCTCCTCTAGTCCACTCACAAACAAACATACACACCCATAAGACGTAGAGCCCCAATACTCCTATGGGGTGTCTATCTCACAAAACCCTACAACTCTCTTACATCTTTTTCTCATACCTAACCCTGTAGAGACTTCACCTATTTATAACCATACAAACTTGCACATTAAGAATCCCTCTCTTCTTAGAATTCTTCTCCTGTAAGTCAAACTTGCCTATTAAGAATCCCTTTCCTTTTAGAATTCTTCTCTTGCAAGTCAAACTTACCTATTAAGAATCCTCTTTCTCTTGGAATTCTTCTTTTGCAAGTCTTCTTGTCCATCAAGCAATATTTGACAAATCTCAAACAAATCTCTTATGGGATTTGAGTCAATATTCCTAACAGATTTTTGAAGAGTATCTTTGAGGTAATGCAATTGGGTCTACTAACATGCGCTAGGGGGTTGGGTGGTGGAAGGGAAACATGCGTCTAAGGTAACGAAATAATTCTTTTAAGAGCAAGAACTTAGATTTTTTTTTTTTGTTCTTTCACAATATTAATGTTAAATCGGTGGATAATTGACAAAAGAGGGGCCTTTTTGGAGCCTGATTAAGCAGCATCTTAATGCCCTGCTCATTGCTCAATGCTTATACAGAAAGTGGGAATTGCAGACATTATTATTAGTTCTGTCTTTGATCTGCAACATTTTAGACTGTAGAGTGCAAGGCATTGCATTAAAGCTAGTTACAGAAAACCACCTAGTTTCAAGGGTTCTGTTCTGTTCTGTTATAGGTTTTAATTTCCTAAGCATTCAGGGGCGCCGGCAGGCAGCGTATTTATGAATTATGAGCAAAGAGTCAAAGCTGCCTAAATTTGTTCCCCACCAGTAACATGTGCAATTCTTTGTTTTCAGTCATATAGATTTGCTCCACAAAATGAAGATTGATAACAGTGAAGTTTATAAATTCAATTCATGTTTTTTTTTAATTGTTGTGAGGAAGGTGATGGATGATTAGAACTCAGGAGAACTTGTAGGTATATATTATATGTATGTTGAATGGAATATCCTATTGTCGTGATATTGCAGGACAGCCCTTAGTAGATTTTATGACTTCAAAGTCTTTCTCACCTATAGAGAGGCCAACTCATAATATGCTGATGCTCTTGCTAAACAATAGACTAATTCCACTGTAAATTTTATTTCTGAACTATTATGTATTGCATCCTATTTAGTTTCTTAATGCAATTTCATTTTTTAAACAAAAAAAAAATGGAATGTCAAAATTAAGAATAAATTTAATCCAAAAATAAATAAGTACAAAAAAAAAAGAAGCGTACCCTTACTATTTCTAACTATTGGCCCAAAATTTGGAAAGTATTTTAGATTTTAAACTCTACTATTCCACTTCCAAATTTCATCTTAAAAAAAAAAAAAATCTAAAACCCTAAACCTTGGAAGCGAAGACTGACACCCTCCCTCGCTTCAGTAGCAGAAGCAAAGCATCCCTTTCCAAAAATGGCGTCCTTAATCTCAGAAACAACCCAAAAAATCTTCACCCCTGAGACCCTTCGTACTGCAGTCAAACAATCTGAACGTTGCCTCGTCGTTCCCGTTCGCCTTTGCCGAGCCATCAAAAAGCACCTCCGAGGTAATCCATCTTATATCTATCTATGTGAATTTACTGACCAGTTCAGTATCTTCAAAAACTACGGTCTCATGATCACGAATGTAAAGGTTAAAGCTAAATGATTGTTATGTTTTTTTTTTTTTTTGTCACTACAATTTGCTTCCCTAACTTTAGGTGCCGATGACGGATGGTGGTCACTAAAATTGTGTCGAGGTGGGTGCTCTTTTGGCTATATAGCAATTAAGTAAAATTCAAACTTGTTAACCAAACTGTTAACCAGCCAAACTCATTAGGAAGGTTCGTTTCATGATACCAGCAAGGCAGGAACAAAATTAAGCTTTTACATGAGGAGTGAAGAGAAAGCTACTGCCAGATTAGGTTGGGGAAAGGCATCCGAAGCCATTTCTCAAATTTCAGATGGAGATCATTTGGAAGTTTTCAGGCAGCAACCTAGCCGTCAGAAATTTGGAAATTTACAGTGACTGACCCAATTCTCTTGAGTCTGTCATTTCCTCCAAGTAGACTTCTGGTCTAATGAACATCAAACCGCACACACCAAACAATAATAACTACAAATACCCTAAGGAAGCCCCATTTTAATTTTCTCAGGATGTTTAAGGTTATGAGTTTGCTCAATCAGAAACATTGAAAACAAGACACCAGTTGAACATGATTCGAGACATACTAAATATAAAACCCAGTTAAGAAAATTCCTTTATTCAGGAAAATTCTGAAACATACGAGTTGTCCCTGCAATTCATAATAGCAATGATAAATGCGTCAGTGACCAGTGACCAGTGATTTCTTGGTAACATATAGAACCACAAACTCTCATTAGTCATTAGTTTTTTTTATAATAATAATAATAATAATAAAAGTGGTTGAGAAACACAAACACGGCACATGGAAATTTTACACCGATCCGTAGAAAATTTTTGTACTGGGCAATTGTCTTTGTATGAAATTCGGTTTGGTTAAAAGTGGCCGTCAAGACTGTTGATAGTAAAGACAAAATTTGAAACTGTAGTTTTAACGGTTTGAAATTCAAATTAATCTCAATAATTTTTTTGGGTTAATATTTCATGTATTAATAATATATGAGTGTTATATAATATAAATCAATCATATGATGATACTTTATTAATTAATAAAAAAAATCAACTCTTTAAAAATAAAATATTAATAAATCATATGATAGCCTCACTCAAAATTATTTTTAAGAACTTAATTACTTTTTATTTTACTCATTAGTAAGTTATTATAATATGATTGATTGATAATGTCATATGATTGATTAATGATAGTATATAGCACTTATACATTGTAAATGCATAAAATATTAACCCTTCTTTTTAATTTTTTTGTAAAAAAAAAAAATTGTAATTATTTTATACTCCAGATAAAAACTTGCATAGGTTTTTAACTTTTTATTATAGAGATTAAATACTACCTTAGGCTTTGTTTGGTAGTTTCTTTGTTTTATTCATTTTTAATTTTTAAAAGGCATTATAATATAAATGTCAATTGGAAAAAAATAAAATATTTGATTAAAAATGAAAACTAATTAAAATTTAATTTTTGAAAGTAAAATTATACTTAGTATATTATTAACATCCTTAGAAGTTAGTAAATCTTAATGTTTTTTTTTTTTTTTTTTTTTTTTTTGCTTTTGAAGGTAGAAGTAAAAAGGAACATTTTAAATTTGTGCCTTATTAATGTTATAAAATTTCAGCAAGTACCTGCTGTCATATGCTTAGAGCAAATTAATGTTAGATATTTGTACCCCATAAAAAAAGCTAATGCGACATATCTTGGAGAGTACAGTTCCTTTTACTGTACGTCTCTTCTAGCAGCATATGGTAAAGAGTCATATAATTGATAGATAAAAAAAAAATTTTCACCATATCCTCCTTGTCTGGGTGGCTATAGATGCCTAGAAATTAAGGGCCGCAGACCAAAAAAGACAGTGTCTGTGTCGTTTCTTAGGGCACATGGAAGCTAGGACCATGTGCTATTTTCTCTTCCAATAATATTGGGAAAGAAATTGTCATGTTCTATCAATGTCAGTAGTTCAACATCCGGACAGTCCAAAAGGACAAGTCATGTGGCCTGAATCACATACCGACTCCACCAGGTCCTCGATCAGCTAAATTATTTTTCAGTCCCATATTGCCTTTTTTTTTTCAAGAGTCTCATCAAATTAGATGGAACGTTAATATTCAGATATCCGCAGATGGGACTTAGCTTTAATTTCTACAAAAAATGATAATTCTTGACATAAATTATTAAGAGAAATTCCAACATTTAAAAAACAACTTGTATTTACATACAAGAATTCATTTAAATGGATGAAGAGAGATTAATTTAGATAAAATTGAAACTATGATAAAAATAAAATTAATTATTGTCGTAACAAAATTAAATATTATAATGATGAGATTAAAATTAATTAAAAAATATGTGTTCAAATTCAAAAATAGTAATGATAGTGAGATCAATTATAATAAAAAAATTATCATTAAAGACAATAAAGTAAAAATTATATTAATAAAAAAATTAAATTATTTAATATTTATAAAATTAATAAATTATTTTTAAATAAAATTAATAGTTTTGCAAATAAAAATTAAAAACAAAAATAGTGTTAAAAATTATTAAAACAATTATTATATTAAATTAATAAAAGTATTTTATAATTTTTAAATAAAAATCAAAATAAAAAAAGAAAAAGTTAAATTATAAAAATCTTATCTTTGTAATATAATACAAATGTAAAAGACAAAAAAAACATTATGGGACCAATTTCTTTCAATGCAAAAAAGGTGCTTTAATGCGGTTAATACATTCAACTGTACCATCGTCATGTTTCAAAATGAATCTTCAGTAGCTTTTAAGGATGCAATCGGCACTCATCGTAGGTGCAATTGCATCCAAATGGAGCCTAATAATTTCTGAAAAATCTGAATTCTGATGTACTTGATTTATGGCTCAAATTGAAAGAGAGCTACGGCTTCCTATAAAAAAAAATTAGTGAGCTGGGGCTAGAATTAGATTGATTAGCTACAAGAATCATCTTTCATCAGCTCATTATTCCTTTTTTTTCTTCCTTATTTCTTTTTATATACATGTAATAAAGTAAAGAAAAATATTTATATACATGTAAGTAAAGAAAAATATATATAGGATTAATGTTACAAATGATTTTTAAATTATGATGAGATAGCAATATGTTATTTAACTCGAAATAGTTATATTTAATGGATAAATAATTCATCAAATTAATTAATAAATTCATAATTTAGGTTTTACGTTAAAAATTTTTAAAATTCGAGTATTATATTGAATATATTATTATAATTTAGTAAACATTCATGACATTATCTCATATGTTATGATATTTTTAGGGTTATATTTAGTCGTTGGTTGAGATAGAATATAAATTTGGTTGAATTTGGACAATCAGAACGGCAACTTTAAAAAGACTAATATATATACTACAATCTAAATAGGCTACCTTTTTTCTTTCTTTTTTTTTGGGAGGGGGGGCTCAGAATTTATTTGACACTAACTACAGTAGGCAGATTAAAGGAGCATGATGCAGTCAAGTCAAGAGAGAATCAGGGCCATTTCCCTTAAGAAGCTGCTCGTATTCCTCAAAAATGTCGTCAAGCATGTCACAATCTCCTGCTGGTGTAGCATCTAGAAATGTAGCAGCATCAAGGCCGTAAAGGAGTTCTTGATCTTCATCACAAACCATTGCCTCTCCGCTATAATTAGTAGCACCTGCAATTTCAGCCCAATAAGGAGGAAAATAAAGAACTTCGGTTCCTAGTTTGCTCCCTTCTCCGCTGCTAGATGACCCACTTATACTGTCGAAACTGCTGCTCCTCGTTATTACCGAAAATGGTGAAACCCTGCCGGCTTTTGGCTGATGTACTTTGGTCGTCGCCGTAGTAGTCTCTTTTCTTGCACTACTCTCCTTTTTGTCCTTATTTTTTTGCTCCTTTTCAGTAGTTTTCTTGGCTTTACGACTCATGCTTGATGCTTTTTTAGAGGTGTTTGACTTGGTTTCGGATTTTTTGACTCTTTTGCCCAGATGAGAATTCCAATAGTTCTTTATTTCATTGTCTGTCCTGCCTGGAAGTCTTTTAGCAATGAGAGACCAACGATTGCCCAGAAGAGAATGAAGCCTGATAATGAGATCATCCTCATCAGGAGTAATGTTTCCACGCTTGATATCAGGCCGCAGATAGTTCATCCATCGTAGTCTACAGCTCTTCCCACACCTAAGTAGCCCTGCAGCGTGCACCAAAGCACAAAATTAATGAATTAAACTTTTAAAAAATTAAGCCTGTATGTTGCCCGGTGAGAATTATTTATAACTAATAAAGAATTCAAGGAAAGACCAAGAAGTAGAGAATATAAATGCTAGCTGCGAAAGAGAATTACCAGCCCTTTTAGGCAAAGATCTCCAATGACCTTCACCATGAGCCTTGATATAATTAATCAGCAATGTGTCTTCTCTGGCTGCCCAAGGACCTCTGTGCAAACCCACCTTGGAACAGCACGGGGCTCTTCCCATTTTTCCCTCTCTTGTAGGATTCCAGGTAGACAATATCAAAAAATAGAAGGTGTAAACGAGAGAGAGAGAGAGAGAGAGGACAGCTGCTGGAAAGGGCACATGACACTACAAAGCTGTCTCTCCCTTTTAAAGCCATCGAAGTGATTACATTATTCCAGAAATAGCACTATGATTTCATCTGATGAATTATTCATTAATTTGGAAATTTTTTTATCACTGCCTAATTGGTTTTTTTTTTTTTTTTTTGGATAGAAAAAAAGTATCTTATGATGTGTTTGATACATAAAATTATCATATGAGAAAATAATATGATATTATGAATATGATTAGATTAAATAATATCATTCTATCTTATATTTGATACACGCAAAGATTAAGGTAGAATAATATATTTATTGATCAAAATTATTTTTTTTTAAATTTATATAATTTAAATTATTAATTTAAATTTTAAAAATATAATAAGATATTTAAGTTCAATCCCATTGATTAAAAATAATTTTTTTTCATTTTTAAATGATTGAATCATACCAAAAAAATAATTAATTCTTTTTATAATTCTATCTCTTTTTTTAAAGACAAACCAAATATAATAAAAAATAATTATTATCCTATCATCTTGGGCACAAAAAATGGTCTTAAGTTCTATTTGATTGGGTAACTTTTTGGGCAAATAATAAGGAAATTTGTTTGAAAATGTGGTTAAGACAAAACGAAAGAGGCATGGTCACCAACCCTTCTCAATATCTGCCCTTCTTCTTTGAACTAGTCCTTCCATGTGCAGGCCCTGGAATGTATCGTATTTTTATTGCACAGACAAAAAGCGTGGTTCAAATCTTTGAATTAACATTTTCGTTTATATGTATCTCGTTGGTCACTGCCCCATTATCCATTAATTTACCTGGCCCCATCCCCAATCGCATTTCATAACTCAAATGAGATCCTCAATGTGTACGTTAAGAAATAATTAATTACCCACATTTAAATATTTTTGTGTTATTTGAATTTGATCATGAAAAAGGGGACATCGTCCTTCTTCTTACTGAAAAATGATATTTAGTAAACAATAAATTTAGTTACTCATATTTCAATTTTTCAATCAAATTGAACATGCATATATATATATATATATATATATAGATATGAAAGAGGGATTCACTTATATTAATATAACTTCTATATTTTTTTTTCTCTTAGATCAAAATTAAATCCATGATTTATTTGAATTGAAATAATATTTTTAAATTTAACAATTTTGATCCCAAAATTTTAAAAATATAAGAATTACACTATTATAAATGAATTCTGACTCATATATATATATATATATATATGGCTTATCTATTTGATATGGTTTTCATGTCCATGTAAAACTATATCTTCAAAATTTAGAGCTAAACTTTGATATAGTAAAAGTGATTTGATCAACCCTTCAATTGACATGAGAATTGTGGCCTATATATAACATTTTTTAATTAGTGTAGTAATTAATAAAATGCCAAATCATGCATGCTATCAAAATTTAAAAGAAATAAAGGTAATTTGAAAAAAAATGCTGATCATGTTGTAATTTAAGATCATGGAGCATGAAGGATTTAATTTGCATACATTGCAAAAATCCTTTCCTTGTCAATCAAGTTCAATCTTTATAGATAAATTTTTGAGTATATAAAATTTTAATGTACCAAGTTGATACAAAAAAATACATCTTTAAAATCATTCCAAAAAAAATTAAGTTTAAATAAAATCTGAAAACACTCATTTTATCCTAATATTGTATGAGATAGACAACCTTTAATCGTAGCAATATATAGCATCACATTGAATTGGTGCCTTTAAGAATGAGGAAGCGATTTTTTTTTTATTTCTTTCTTAAAAAAAAATTACTTTGCTTCCCGTAAAATTAGATTTGATAATTTTAAATACAATACGATAATACAATATAAATAAAATATATAAAGATAATATAATTTAAATTTTAAAAAAATTATAAATAAATTTAATAAAATAAAAAAATTATATTTTATATTTTTATATCTATATAAATTATGTCATTTAATTTTTATAAAAAATATGATATAAATATAATATTTTATATAATATAATAACACGAATGATTAGATCTATGCAAAATCAATAATGAATTATTGGAGAAGAGTCCAAAAAGTCAAAATCATTTAGCAAGTTGTTGGATATGATTAAATTGGTTTGGGAAGCAATTATATATATGTATACCATAGAATAATTAACAACAAATATAATTTTATTATATTGCAAATCGTCAAATTAAGCAATCTTATGAACTCCAACGGCGTAAGTGAGATATATGTAGTAGCTACGACTCTAAAATATTCTACGCTTAATTTGTCGTATTAAGGTTATTATTGACCTATAAATTAAGCTAATCACTCATCGCCCACGAGGAACATATTGTAAACTATTCATTCACGAGTAAACTTGTTCTTGAGCTTGGCCAGGTTATATGGCCCACCGGAACGTATAAAATTGATTCGAGTTGGTTTTTTTTTTTTTTTTTTTTTTTAAATACTTACAATAAGAATGATAATTAAGAATATAAAATTATTTTTTAAATATTAAAAAATTAAATCATTTACTTTTAATAAAAATAATATATTATTCATATATAACGAATATTATGTATTATTTATATGTTATAAAAATAATATAATAAAAAATTTTATTAGATAATTTTATATTATTTTAAATCAAATACAAAAATTTTATATTTTTTAAGATAATAAAACTAAAAAATTATCATATTATTTTCAATAATACTTTTTTTCAAAATTATTTTTCTTTTTTCAAATTTGAAAATTTGCAAATCAAACGTCTTATTAAAGAATTATTTTTATATATAATATAAATATATTTCATGTACGGACTCAAACTCCAAAACACATAAAAATAAATTTCATTTATCTATTATTTATTCATTTATTTGTTTATTTTATTTTCCCATTGTTTAAGCAACGTGAGACATGAGCTTGTTCAATAATTGTTTAAATTGACCAATGAAAGCTAAACAACAAAAAGAATCATCTTCCTGTACACGAGGCACATGAAAATGCCGGAACTTAAAATCTTTTTTTTTTTTTTTTTAATTTGCATATTGATTTCAATTCCGAGGTTTTATTATTAAATCAATAGTTTTGGATTGTAAACGTTTATTTCATTTTGGGATCTGTTGAACTAACAATTTTCTTTTGGCACGTTGGATGTGCTCATGATATCCTGTCTTTCTTATTTTTCCAATTAATTTGGATTGTTAAGCAATGCTTAAGAAATAAATAAATCAGATTACTCTTTTAATAATTTTTTTCCAAAGGGGCCAGGAGAATGAGATGACGGGCACGAACTCCTATTTTATATGTTTTTTTTTTTAATATTTTTTAGTTATTAGATCAAAAAATTGAAGATAACTTTTAATATTTACCTTCTTCTAATTATTTATTTTTATTTAAAAATATATTATTTATGATTATTGTAATTTGAAAAATCAATTATAATATAATGTTATGTAATCTAAAAAATTAAGTAAAATTTACACTTTTAAATGATAAATTTTTATATTATTTTTTGTTGTGATTAATTAATTATAAAATTATAATAAAATATTTATGTATAAAATATTTCCTTTTCCATTAACACATATGCCATATGAATTTTTTATCTAATTAAATCAAAATTATTTAATGTTGATAGGTTTAGAAATCGAAAACATTTCAGTTACAATTTTTTATTATGATTTTGTAACTATTCAATCACGATAAAAAAATATATGTATATGAGTCTATTACTTCTAACTGTGAGCTCATCCTAAACATTAGTTTTTACGATAGGGTAGCAGTAAAAATTAACCCATAAAGTAAGTGAAAAGTTCATACTGTTCAGATCATAGGCCTATTATGGTGTGATCCAATAACAAAATTAAACCCCAGCTATTTGTTGGAACCTGACTGGAAATCAGCCAGATTAATAAATCATTGTCGTTTGCCGACTATCCTTTTAAATCAAAATTTTAAATCAATTGATATATTATTTGAGTTGATATTTAAAATTTATAAATTTAAAAAAAAATTAGGCATATAATATATTTTTTTAATCGAATTAAAGTAGAGAAATTTAAATATAGATTAGAAATTGAAGTGGTGGGGTCTTATAATCGAATTGGTAACCCATAGGCTCGAATGCATCCATCCCAGTTTGCAGTAACAATCACAAGACCCCACTTGTGACAACTTAACATGCTTTGGTAAGCACTCCTCAAAACCTTTAACTCGAATTTGCACGTGTCAGATGCAATCTTGGCCCGAATAGCATTGGGAAGTGTCTCTTCAGGCCATGTTGCAGACCCCCTCGTCAAAGACTCCAACAGAACACGTGTAAGAGAGAAACAATCTGGTGAAGAATGGGGCATCAATTGATGTTTCTTCCCATTTACCGAGGCCATTTCTCCGCACATCACCCCTCAATTCGGGGGATGCAAGTGTTCCGGGACCGGTTTCAATGCAACACCAAGATACAGCAACTGATGCATTGTGGGAGAGGAAACTCCCACAAGACGACACGTTCTTCACCTAGGAAAAGTTCTTCTCCTGATTAGTGTAATTCCAGATGTAGACATTAGAATCCTCGCTAGCTGAGATGATCTGTTTCCCATCTTGGCTAAAAGTTGCAGAAGTCTGACTTGTTGCAATTCGAAAGCCGGATGCTGGAAGATGAAAGAAGCTAAATCATGAAAATGCTGTATTTCTAATGATTTAAAATTATCAACTACCACCTTGGTTCTTCACATAGGGAGAAATAATGTTTATCCCCACTTCCAAGATCATCAGGATGGTCATTGCTGGAACAACAATTATAGGAACAGAAGAGTGAAATACTCACCCTTTAGTTTGCATACGACATCTCTTCCAGACAAGACACAGACAAATGAATCAGCTGAAGTAACGATCACTTTGCTTGGATCACAAGGAGAGAACTAGAAAGTGAACAACAATATGTAAGTCTTCACCTGTCAAAAAACCTAATGA